TTAAGTTTTATTTTTTGCACACCATTTTCATATGTAAGTTTCAAAATGGCAGGTGTGCTAGAGAATTCATCGATTATTTCCTAATTGCATACTCTAATGTGTAGTAGTGGAGTAGGTCAGTGAGCTTTTATTTCCATCAATTTTTTTTTTCTCACAGAAGTCATTAGGAAACGAGTCGCCTTTAGTTTGAAAAGCGTCTGACAGTAAGTGGACAACAAATCTGTTATTCGGAAACAAGACCAATTTTTGAAATAATTAGGGCTGAATTTATTACGCTCGCTATTCATTTGCAACATGTAGAAGTAAGATAATGATGGAGGATCTATAATTAGATCTAAAGCATTTTCAGCGTGGAAAGGAGAGGGCGTCGGTGCACCTTATTAGTACCAAGACTATCTTTCCAAAATATCATTTCTAAGCTTTATGTTACAGTGGATGTGATTACGGCGAACTTCAGAGTTTTTAAAGAATTGAAAGCATTGTTCTCGGTGAGAGACCCGTGCTAACGGCAACAATATATATGTTCTATATATACTATATTGGAAATAATATTGAGAGCGAAGCAAGCGGCCATTGAAAATAGCGGGAACGATCATGAAGCAACAAGATTGTGTGTCTGCGAATTTTGAATTTGGAAGACAATTTTCAGACGGGAAAAGCTGCTCTAAAAGCAAAACAGAAGACATTCTTTCAGTCGTACTCTAAGTACGCTTAGTTCTCTTTTCCCATCAATTTTTTCCACACGTAATTTGATTTAACATGAGTTTAAAAGAAAAGATTTCCTATTCTAAGGCGATTTTCAATATTGTATGCATTTTTTTTATGAATTTGCTTTTTAGGTTTTTAAGAATTTTTTTCATTTTCATCCCTCACACACATACACTGTAACTTTGCGTTATATTTTTCACAATTCAGTTAGATTATGCCGATTATATGCGTGCATGAATAGAATCCCCCGAATAATGCATAGAGTAATGTAATGTAATGTAATGTATTTTTCACGCAATTTAAATTGATTTTTCAGTGTATAATTTATTTCTTATAACATATTTAATAAATTAAAATGTGTAAGTGCGAAATAAATTTTTAACTGAACTCTAACAAGAATTTTTTATATTGTTTACTGTGCTTTTCAGTTGCTTTTTCAGGTTTGGAATCAATCTACTATTTTTCCATTTAGCCAACATCTCTTCTGCACAAATTTTTTCGGAACGTGTCTATCGTGTAAAAAGAGATTTAGGTGTATAACGGTATGCTCATGCTTTGTATTTGATCGGTTAACGCGTAAGACGATTTGTACCTTTCTTGAGTCTTGGTCTTCTGCTAAAATCAACGTCTATCACATCCAAGACGAGCTTATCGTCCGTTTTGGAAAATGTATTAGAAGAGAACGGTTCAATATTATTCTTAACACTACAACTGCCGACGTTTAGCGTATATCTATTAAAACGGAAATAGACCAATTTGAACCGAGATGATCGACAAATTGCCGCAGTAACAGGAAGAGATATAAAAGGGAGCTGGAATTTGGCAAAGGCATTCCTTGACCGATTAGTGAGCCAAGGTTAACAAGGTCATTATAATCTGGCCACATATGCGCTCACACTAGATTCGAAATTGAGACAACCTCGAAAGACTCTGGCAATTCTGTTCTTCTTCGTTTATAACTTTCGATTTTGTGAAGATATGTCCGAAAGCCCACAACTCGTAAAAACTTAGCCAAGCCAAGAGAAAACGTAAGTATAGGTATTGATAGGTCTCTCCTTATATAAATTAAAGTTGTCAAAAGCCTCTGGAAGTTGCCTTTCCTTATAATGGGGCTTTTGAAGCTCAAAAGTTGAAAGAGAAACAACGTTTACTTGTTTAGTTTCGATCAAGATCGGTGCGAATTTTTAGAACATTTAATAAGTATTTTCCTAATTACAAATATATAAATAAACCACGCGTAGAGAACGTATTAACTAAAAATGTTTATATGGAATCCCAGTGCTTATAAACTGCATAATTGTTATACTCACCACTGAAGGATGGCTTTTGTTTTGTTTTCCTTTCTCATAATGTAAGTATTACTCGAAACGACGCTTCAGAGACCCTACAATGTATGTACATATATTTATGATCTGCGCGAGATTTTGAATTGGTTTCTTTCACTTTTTTGAGGTTTTATGCTTATTTGTCATAAGGCAAACAAGAAAGAATGCTTAAAACTATTTGGTGCATTCTTTAGCTGAAGATGTATTATCTATTTAAAAGTGGGTCAATTCTAAAATGAATATGGGTGGACATCGGGACCTGGTGGTTTAATTTATTCTTACTAATATCAGCGATAAGGGTACCGAATAAAAGAGCTTGGAGAGTAAAATGAGAAAAACATAGTGGCGGTTAAGCGAAAATAATTTGCTTACTTATTTTAGGTAGAATTGTTTAATAGATCGTGTTTACTCACGTCTGCGTATCCACATCGTGTTAGAGCATTAATGAAAGTAAACGTTTTTAGGAATGATTTCAACTAAAAATATTATATAATTAATCAACGCTTTGAAAGTATAAATTGCAAAAATGATCGAAGCCTGAAGAAACTCATGAAAGAAATCTTATACTCGCCAAAGCTAGTACTTCTTATCTCTCATGCAATGTCTCTGATGTACGCTACGTTTCATTTTGTTAACGATATTTACCTAAATTTACAATAAAATAATCTTAACCATCCTGTTAGGATTTGTTTGTGAAACATTTTGCAGCAGTGCAATCCCGCTACTTAGTAAATGCCAAGTAGAAAAAAATTATCTAACATCCAACATTGAGATATACTTTTCAACCGTAAACGCTTTATTTTCAAAAATATGCGTTGCTAGCTTAGAAGCCGTTTGCCTCAGGCACTGCAATCGTTCCACATAGGTAGAACTTACCCATACAGACTAAGAATTAAATCTTTGTTACGCAATCTAAAATCCGAAGCACTGACTTCCCACATCTTCAATAGCATCTTCAATTTCCTCCGACACAAAAAACTTCGACAAAGAGCAAGAAATTCGCAATTGACAGTAGCGATGGAACAGTTCAACCTTGGCTGCCATTTACATTTTTTAGAATACGGTTCACTTTTTTCACTCTCGATCGCGAGGCCACATGTCTCATCAAAGGATTAATGTTCAACTGCACCAGATCGTTTACACAAAATAAATGCAATAACCACTCGTTTATGCACATGCTGTACACGACAATTTATCGATCGTCATCCCCTTGTTTGTCCAAATTTTGATTCACGTATTCGCCAAATATCCGTGAATTGTCTTTGTATATTCTTCTTAGCCTCGTCATCCAGGATATACTTCGCATTTTTTCTCTTTTTAATGTGCACAACTTAAACCTATAAATTATAACGGTCAATATACATTTTTCGAATATATTTTTCTTACAGCCAATCACTGTCAATTGTTGATGACATCACATTCATATCATCTTCTATTACTTTCCAATACACTACGAAAACACATTCTTCTCTAAAAAAAAAAAAATTATAATAATAGTAAAATAAAAACGATATAAAAAATCAAGAAAAATATTTTAAGCAATATTAAAAAAAATTATAAAAATTATAAAAATTTTATAAAAATATTATAAAAATATTTTAAATAATATTTTTCTCTAAACATAGCAATAATATGCTACAAAAAATGAAAAAATAAAAAGAAATATATTTATCATTAAAGCAAATAATCCATCAAATAAAGCAATAATAAATTCGAAAAACAATAACGATAAAAAGAATGGCGATCGACGGGAAATTTGCGAAAGTTGGAAATGTTTATCGACGTCAACAAATAAACATTAGAATCTAATTGTAACTAAGAATTGTCAACTTTACTAAAACTCAGACAAAGCATTTTATTTTCACACTGTGCCTTTTTTATGAAAAGGCGAATCACCTGAACGCTAATTATGTATTTTTCAGTTAACTAGCTCTCATTTGAAGGGCGTACCGTGAGAATCTTCTGGTTGAGAGCTATGTATTGGTTTCGCTATTCGAAATTATTTCGAGAAAATAGTGGGAAAATATAATCGATAACAAAATCATACAAACGTAAGTAAAAACAAAACTACATGAAATTTTCGATAAAATTAAATGCAGTGAAATAATTTCGTATAATTCCTATAACGTCACATTTTCATTTATTAGGAAAACTTTGGATTGTGAATTTGAACTTTAAATTTTAATATATATCTTTTTATTTTTACTTTATATTATTCTTTTTTTATATTAAGACATAACCCAACTTTTTAATTTTTATAAAGATTGATTTATTCCTTATAATTTTGATTTCATTACAATTCAATTTGAAATTGTAGAAAATATGCCGGTTCATATTTCTTCACTTATTCGCCACAACTGTGAGATATTTAGCACACCTTCACCAAAACAAAATGCTGGAGCTGCACAAGCTAGAACGTAAATTTCCGAATTTTACACTTTATATTGCTGAAAGGCTGCACAAACGTTTTCCCATTTTCCTTGGATCGTATCTGCTTTTTGCAATACATAATTTGACATATTTGACAAAAACGTGAAATCATTTACATTTTCTTTTGAGTAACGTAAGATGATTTGAAGAATGCTGCAGAGCTCTTCTACGTCTTACAAAATCCCTCTTCCTGTAATCTCGATAACAAATTATACAACATAAGCTGAACACTTTCGTGTTGATAACAACATTTTACTCACCTTTTTTTGTTGTGTTTCTGAAGGTGCGTTTCTCGCATTTATGTGCAATAATATATCTAAAGAGGTCGAAATTCGAAAATGAAATCTACTTGACACCATACACAATTGGCGCTTTGTTATTGACTTGCTGAGCATTAAAGAAAAAGAAGAAGTTTTACTGCAAGAAATTTTGGTTCTGCTTTCCACATCGATTAACCAGCTGATTAGCTGTAACTTTTTATATGAATACGGCAAAAAAAATCGCTGCGAATGTAATATACAAAATAATGACATTTCGAATGAAAACAAATCAGAATAAAACAATATTATATTTTGATTTCTTGACGTAAAAATACGTAATAATAAACATAAGTTGAATTCTTGCACCATAATAGTCAATAGAAATAATTAAGCAAAGTGGCTAATACTAGCGATGATCAGGAGAAAAGTGAATCCAAAGACGATCCGCTGGAAGATGAACGCCAGGGAAGTGTTAGGGAAGTAGGCAATCAAGCGGTTTGGAGTTTGTCATCTTGCAAGCCGGGTAAGAATATTTTCGAATTATTAAACAATAATAAGGGAAACTTAAAATAAAATTTAAAAAAGGTTTCGGAGTAGAACGCTTACGTGATAATATAATGGACACATATTGGCAATCAGATGGTCAACTACCACATTTGGTGAACATACAGTTTCATCGTAAAACAAGCATAAGTCAAATTTATATTTATACCGATTACAAACTGGATGAAAGTTATACACCGTCACGCATTTCGATAAGAGCCGGATCACACTTTAATGATTTACAAGAATTACAAATAGTTGACTTAACAGAGCCAACGGGTAAGTTCAATTGCTGTAATTTGTTCTCATTCCTTCTTTCTGCTGAGATTACTTTTTATGCGAATATTAATTAAGGTTGGGTGGCTATACCGATTAAAGATGGCAGTGTTAAATCGATACGGACCTTTATGCTGCAAATTGCTGTTATTTCTAATCATCAGAACGGCCGGGACACTCACATGCGTCAAATTCGTATACATGCACCTGTGGAGGGGCGTCATTATCCATTGGAATTGTTTGGTAAATTTAGTACAGTCAACTTTCAAAAGTTCGCTACAATACGTTAGAATTTTTGTAAAAGGAAACAATGTGAATTTCTTTTATATATATATATTTTTATATTTGTTCATTTTAGCGGATATTTCGCTCGAATCAATTTAATAATCTAATAAAATATTACATGAAATGAATTACCAAGACAATGCAAATAGAATGTACAGCAGTCTTGATTTCTTACAAATCAGTACAAGTCAGTTTTTGAACACCAAGAAATTCTTTCGAAACATCATTCCGCTCAAAAGACGAAGCAAATTCTCTTAACGACTTGTTTAGGCTTAACAGGATTGACTGTGTTTTTTCCGACCATTTATTTTCATTTAACAGAATTGTGTTAGTTTTTTGCATCACTTATTGAAAGCAACTCTGTTCTCTAGTCGCTCTATTCACAACACATACTTGGTACTTTTTTTTATAAACTTATTCATCCTTATTATGTAAACTACATACGTATATTAAATTATTTATACGCTTATTCTCGTACATGACCAATTTTTATACGCTTATTTTCGTACATGGCCAATTTTTATGCAAATACTTGAACAATTATTCAACAAATGTAAACAAATTCAGACGCTTATTCTCACATTTTTCGAATTATTGAGAGTATAATACGCTTATTCTCGTATCTGGCCAATTTTTATACGCTTATTCTAGTACATGGCCAATTTTTATGCAAATACATGAACAATTATTCAACAAATGTAAACAAATTCAGCTATTTATTGTATTATTCTAGATTTTGGTAATTGGAGTGACAAGAACAGGAAGAACTAGTAAATGTAGAAATCTTTGTATTATACAATAAAATAAAGAAATTTATAGTTGTCGAAAAAGTGGTTCGATCCTAACCATTTCCAGTAACGCTCGCACTTGGATCGAAACGTGCGGGTATGCCAATTCTTATCAAGATATCTCAAAAATTTGCGGCTTGCAGGTTGAATACACGAAAACAAGACAGTCTTACGCTCAGCTAGATAGACAAGCTAAAAGTTGAGTCTACCTCAAATCTTTTTGCGTATTTATTTATTTATTTTATTTATTCCTATTATACTAGAAACTCAACTAAACAAATAACAGTCGAGTTCAATTGGCTCTTAATGCAAAACTTATATTAATTAACAATAAAATTGAGTATAAGCATAATAAAACAAATAAGAAGAAAAAAAAAAAAGAAAAAGAAAAAAAAGCATGTACACTATCAGCATAGGAGCACACTTACAACTTACAGGACAAAATTGCAAATGAACCCCTAAGCCATCTCAAACATGCATAAGCCTGGCAACCGATAATAAATTGACAATAATTCACTTTCGAAACGTAACGACTTTTTAAGGAAAAAAGCTAGTTTAAATACGACATAGGTAAATCGCGCGTATTAAGCAATGTTGCTTTAATGGACTTTAAAGAGTCCGATAACGAGAATAAGTGGTAGACGTCATTTAGGTTCTTGCAAACGACTCTGAGCGGATTGAACAGCTCATAATTAAATTTATACTGATTAAGCTTAACCAAGATAAAGTGCCTAGAGAAGCGGTTAGGGACATTAAAGCTTATTTCACCGCGTAATGAAGGCGAGTCAGTAGCACCATTTATTACTTTAATTAGAAAGGAAACGCCAAGAACAAATCTACGTTTCTCAAGAGACGGTAGGGACAGTAGAAGCAACCTATTTTCATACGGAGGAAGAGAGGCAATCGGATCCCAACTCAAATTTCTAAGGGCAAACAGCAAGAATTGCTTTTGAACAGATTCAATTGAATCTACGTAGCACCTATATGAAGCAGACCACACAACTGAGGCATACTCGAGTATGGGTCTAACCAAACACATGTACAGCCTTTTCGTAATGTAGGGATCATCAAGCTCTTTGGACCACCTTTTTATAAAACCAAGCGCGGACCTAGCTTTGCTTATCGAGAGCTCAATATGCAAGTTAAAGCGTAACCTATGGTCAAATAGAACGCCTAAATCTGTGATCGAATCGACGTCCTCCAACTTATGCGAATCTATGAAATACTGAGTATTGAATGACTTTCTTCTTGAGAATGAAAGCTTCTTACATTTACTCAGATTTAGTTTTAGAAGATTCAAAGAGCACCATGCAACAAAATTATCCAAATCACCTTGAAGCTGATGTGATTGCGATTCAACAGAGAAGGAAGAAAACAGTTTCACATCATCAGCATACGTTAAGATCTGGCTGGAATTAACTACCGATGGGAGATCGTTAATGTATAAACTAAAAAAAATGGGACCTAAGTGACTTCCTTGAGGTACGCCACACGTAACGGGGAATTCATCCGGGGTAATGGAGTTAAACAAAACCCTGAAGGATCTATTGTGCGGATAAGAGCTTATCCATTTCACTAAGTAGAAAGGGAAGCCAGAGGCTTGGAGTTTAAAGATAAGTAGTCTATGGTTAATTATATCAAATGCTTTGTTTAAATCAGTGTAAATAACATCTGTGCGAGAGCCACTAGAAAAAGCCTTGAAAACATGACAGGTAAACTCTAACAAGTTGGTGACTGTAGATCGCCCTTTCCGAAAGCCGTGCTGGTGCGGAGAAATATACGAATTAATGGCAAAGGCCAAATGCTGAGTCACAATACGCTCGAACAACTTGGGCAAGACACTCAACTTGGCTATGCCTCTGTAGTTCTCAACAAATTGTCTACTTCCACTCTTGTGGATAGGAATAAGGAAACTACTCTTCCAACATGAAGGGAAAACACCTAAATACAAGGACATGTTAAAAATCTTTGAGATCACACCACATCACTCGACAGCGCAATATTTAAGTACACATGATGGAATTCCATCAGGTCCAGGCGAACAATTGTATTTTAGAGAGCTCAACCCTTTAAAAAAGTCATCTTCCGAAATAAATATTATTCATGTCATCTGAATTGTTTCTTAAAAAGAGGACGTTTCTTGTTAATAGAAAGAAAATAGTAAAACGGAGAGCAGTTGTTTCGACGATGGAATCGTGGCTTTTGTAAAAAAATGCAAAAGTTCGATGCTCAATATATAAATGTGTAGAAACAATTTTTTAGTGGAATATCACCCAGAATACCATTGCCAGTGCCAGTCTTTTCAAAAATTTACGTTTAAGAATCTAGAATTGAATTAAGAAGTACGGAAAACAAAGAAGTGTTCCGCGGGAGAAGTAAATAGCCAAGGATTTTCTTGGGCAATTGGCTAGAATTTCCTTCTACAACTATTTGCTGGGATTAGAGATGTGTTAGCAGACTGGTTAATGAGCGTTTATGGGCACCGTGCTTCTCTAATAATAGAAAACTTGTTAACATATTTTTTAATGAAATTCTATACAGAAGCGGCCTTTCAAACCAGAGCTCTCTGCTGAGAGAAACTAATGTTGCATCAGGGCTTCAAGAAGGTAGCGGAGAACAGCCGGAGTTGCGAGAAGACAAAAACGCAGTTGGCGTGAGTGAAATTTCTATTGGAAACGAATCGGAAGAAGTGAAAAGTAAAGTGAGTCGAGATGAAGTGGGCAAGATGAATAATCCGGGAAGTTCGCTTGTTTCTGCTGGTTTTCAAACAGCGTATGGTAAAAAAATCTCCATATCGAAAAAAAGCCAAATATCCGTACAAAATATTCCAAGAGAATTTCAAGACAAATTGCAAGAAACGAATTATGAAACTGAACTAAAAGTCATAAAAGCTCGAATGCCGATTAAAAGTATGGAGTCCAAGTTTGGAGAAAATATAAACAGCAGTGCGCAAATAGCGAACAAAACAGGCTTTCAAGCGACCTTTAAAATACAACAGGATAATGTTGGCAAGGTCATTAATCCGGGAAGTTCGCTTGTTTCTGCTGGACCGGAAGATATGAGAAATCGCAAAAAGCTATAGTCATTAAACCCAAAGTATAATTATAGGCCACCCCCCCAACTCTGTGAGACATCCAATAGAAACTCACGACAAACCGAGACTACGACACCAGAATTAGGGGAGTTTGTTAAAAATGCTGTTGAAACAAGTACACCAGGCGTCAATAGACCAAAGAGGTGGCGGCTCTCGGGCTTAAGACGTACTGGCATTAGTCCTAAGAAATAAATACTACTTTATTATTATTATTATTATTATTATAAATTTAGCCAGAGAATAAATTCTAAGACTAAAGTCTTAAAGCACTAGCATCTAGGGCTATCGGCTTTTTATTAAAAACTCTACCGCACTTGAGGTTTGAACCCACGACTATTGAGTTGCTCGTCGAGACTCTTGCCTACTCGGCCACTCAGGCGGATAATAATACTTTATATTACATTGTGTAAAAGCAACGGAAGCCTTTTTTTGAATTCAAAAACGTCTCGATATCTTTTTTCATTTAAATTAGTTTTGCTATTTTTTGGCATTTTATTTAATTAATGACATTTGGATGTATTTTTCTTATCCTCGATATCTTGTATCTTTTTGCTTTCTTATGCTTTTTTCTTATTTAATGATTTTCTTATTATACTAATATATATATATATATATATATATATATATATGTATACTATATATATATATGTATACTACTGTACTATTATACTAATTTAAATTACATTGTTTAAATTACACACAGGTAGTTTGAATAAATTTGAAAAATTGCTTTGAATCATCTTGAGGAAGAACCCATTGACTTAATACAATATTAGCATAATCGCTTCCCATCTCTCCACTCCTTCATCGTTTTCAAATTTTATATTCGATTTCTACAATTTGCACATCCTTGCCTACCTACCATAGCACATAACATCCAGCATACAAAAAAAGAATTTTCATATTTTGTTTATGAACAGCTGTCTTAGGTATTAAAATTTGGTGCCTTTAGAGAAAATAGAAATAGTATATGTTACTAATAATTTGTATAAAAATTCCACCCATCTGAGAATAAGCGTATATGCTTGCTTACATTTTTTAATAATTTGGCAATTCGTCTAAAAAGAACGACGTATATTCGATTAGGAATTAATCCGTTTGCGTCAAGCCAGGTTCGAAACTTTCCGATTCACTCAGTACTCCCTGCATGCAGTGAGCATTTGGAAATTAATAAATAAATACATAGATGATAAAATATTTTGATAGAATGCGTGATAAATTGTTTCTTTTCCGAAAATATTTTTAAAAACAAACGATTTAAAAATAACTCATGTGCGCAAACACACATGCAATGGTATTCCGATGGTCTGCCAAAATTCAATTTATAGTAAATTTTCGTGTAGTTTATCTCTTCGATCCTCAAGGACTTCACCAAGATAAGCGGCAACTTTCCGAGTAATTTGCTCGACGTATGTATCAAGTTTACCCAAATCATCGGACAAGCCTACCACCTTGTCTAGAGTACCAACCTGAAAGATAATATACAAAATACATTCGCATTCTTCGACAAGTTAGGCAGAAGAAGAAGAATGATGACTAACCTTTAAATCAGGTATATGAAATTTATAATTGTGTTGCATAAGTTGTTCTGCTTACTAGTTAGATTGTTCGTCGTGTCGAAGGTTTGCTGGCAAGTTTTATCGCCAGGAGTGGAGATATGCCAATACTCACACATTTTATGGATTTCTATATTAGAAGAAACCAGAGTCTTCGTCACCCAAAGATGAGGAGTACATTTATTTTGTCAAAATGTTTGTAAAGTCCAGAAGACTTTAGAGACCACACAAAGTACAATTATTCCTGCTTATCATCAAATTACAAATCGATTTAAGCGCGTCCGTCTGTCCGTATGTGAAATTTATGTATTTATTTTATTTACTTACACATTACAAATTAATAGAACAACTTAACAGTCGAATTCAATTGGCTCTTAGAAGTGACACCTATAATAATAGTAAAAACTAGTATAAAGGATATAAAGACATATAAAGAAAAAAATAAAAAAAATAATTATTAAATGATAAGTAATATATAAATAAATATGAAGGAGAAAGAAAAAAAA